GGAGAGAAGAAGACGTGCCTCCGCCAGAAAAACGGGAAACACCCAGAACACACAACACCACAACACCGACACAACCTGTTTTGATGTTGTGTGTGTGTTGTGTGTGTGTTTGTTGTGTGTGCTGCTGTGTAGTGTGTGCGGTTCAACCGTCCCCACGTTCTCCTGCGTTTCCAAACAATCTTATGTTGGTAGCTGACAGATGGTGATAATCCAGTATTGACCCAGGAGAGACGAAGATGTCTGATTTATATACCCAACACACACTACAAACACACCAACACTTGCACCACACACAAAAACACATCCACTGTATTTCTGGATTATTGAATGATTATTAACGATTATTGATGATTATTTATTATTGATGATTATTGATGAGATGAAATCGAGGATTACTGGAGATTACCTGAACAACATTAGATACAAGCTGGGACAGGTTTCTTATTTATAATATAACATCAGATAACAAAGAAAGTATGATTGGTTGAATTATCTTGCATGTATCATTTACATGAATATTGATGTATTATTGATTTAGGCTGTAAAGCAGTTTCCTTGGGAATGGTCTCTGCAGTGTTCCCTCCTGTAAAACAGGAGAAAATATTATATGATTCTCTGAGGGATGTGATGAGGAGGAGGAGGAGGTAAGGGCTCATAGTTTGGAGATTAATAGAAAAGGAGTATGATTTAACAGGATTAGAACAGATCCAGGATTCAGTGATCAGGATTCAGTGATCTGGATTCAGTGATCAGGATTCAGTGATCTGGATTCAGTGATCAGGATCAGAGCTGATTGGGTTTATAGAGACAGTGTGTGTCACACTGAGTGAGAGCTCTGTTTGTAAGATCTTTGATTGGAATCAAACAGAAACAAGCCGACTTAAAGTTTATATTGATCATGCTTGTGTTTATATTGATCATGTTTGTGTTTATATTGATCTGACCGCCTCACCTGGACAATAAAGTTTATTCTGGTTTTTTTTCATCGTGGTTTTGAGTTTTCTTTACTTCCTATTTTATTTTGTAATTTTCCTTGTCCTGCGTGTTGTTTTCCCGCCTAGAGTTTGTTCATGTGTCTGACTGTTCCTCTCTCCATACGAGGACTGTTGCTCTCTGATTTTACCTGCTGACTCTATAGTTTTAGACTCTGCTCTGATTTTCTTTTACTTTTATAATTGAACCATTTGATCTTTGTTCTCAATTACTCAGTTCACCTCGTATTACCTTACTCTCTCTCTGTGTGTGTGTGTGTGTGTGTGTGTGTAGCTAATCGTTAGTGTTCAGGGATCAATCAGCTGCTTGTTATCAATTCATGAAATCATGTTGAACATCACCTGTGACACCGACACTCATTACACATTTCACACCTCCTCCTCTAATGGTAATTCATCTGTTAGTGTGTGTGTGTGTGTGTGTGTGTGTGAATCTGAACATGAAGTCGAGTGTTTAGTTTTCTTCATACACAGAATCAAAGTATTGATCACTGATAGGAGTTATATCAGCAGATATCAGGATACACACAGTCAGCTGATCGTTGGTTCTGAAGACACAAATAAAGATCTCAGTGTTTCATCAGGATCAATTTCCATGTTAATAAGTTTGAATGGCTCAGACCTGATTTAGTGAAGTGCTGGTCTGGAACCAGTCGGTACTGCGTGAAGAGTCCTGCTGTAGTTTGAATTTTCAACCCAACCTGAGCTCGGAGGATGTTGTGGGATTTAAAGGAGCTGTTGGGTCATGTAACACAATGAGGAGCGATGTGTTTTAAATATTTAACGAGCTAAATCAAACATAAAGCTGCTGTGATCTTGCTGTAATGTGAGCGGAGGAGCGTCGGTGTGTTTGTATCCGAGCTGAATGTGAATCAATGGAAACAAAGCGAGATGAAAGCTCCTGAGCGGATCCACTAGATGCTTCTTTGAATATTCCTCTCTCATTTCAAACGTCCCAGGGACCAAATATTAATAAGTTTCTACCTCTGTAAATTAAAGCTGTAACTCACCGCCGACGAACAACAATGAGGATGTTAATTTATTCAGCGGCACTCTGAGCGTCATGATTGGACCGAGCTGCTCTTTAACCGCTGCAACATTCATTAATAACAGTGCTGATGAAAACTGCATGTGGAGGAGCTGCAGTCAGATCTTTAGCTGACAAACACAATGAAACATCACTGCA